CCAACACTCCATAACCCCTCCCATTGGCTGTCACTGCCCTTCACTGCCGATCGCCAACCAATGGCGCGCTTTTCAAAGCTTATCAAAACACGCAATGCTTTCAAACGTAGCGTTCATTCAAATCACTCCAAACGTAATTCACATTCAATTGTCACTCAATTGATCCAAATATCATATTAACCATACATTTGCTGCTAATTCTCATTCAGTACTCTATATCAACATAAATGCATTCATTAAGACATTACTAATTCATTATTCAATTACAGTATAAAAGTATATCACAATATTATATTAAAGTAATTTTTTATATAGTAAGTTTTGTATAAATTTATTGAAACTTAACTAAATTATTTATGTCAGAAAACTATAGATAAGTAGATTATCAGTAAATTGTGCTCAATTGTTTATAACAGGAAAATATGCTTCAATAGAAAGTGCGAAGAGTTTAGTCCGAAGTCGTGGTTCCCATGCGATGCGAAGAAGCGATTCGTTTGTTCCCTTAATTATCACTTAAAGAAAGTAATGCTTGTCTTTGGACTGAGATTTGGCACCAATTGTTTGAAAGCGTTTCCAATTCACCGAATGATTCACATTTGGATTGCATTTCATTCTCATTGTTAGAGTCCATAGGAATCATGTGATTGTTTCGGTCATCACTTGATCTCCACTTCTTGTGTCCATCGGTTGGTGTGTTATTGCGATGAAGACATGGTTTGTGGCCGTGTTTTGGACTTTTCTTCGCAACCCGTCTCTTGGGAACCGTTCTCCAAGTGATAGCGGTTTGCGTTCCACAAGACCTCACTTTTCTGCTCTTCCGCTTCTTCGCAATCGGATCCAATTGAGAGACATTAATGGCGGACTTTTCTTCGCAACCCGTCTCTTGGGAACCGTTCTCCAAGTGATAGCGGTTTGCGTTCCACAAGACCTCACTTTTCTGCTCTTCCGCTTCTTCGCAATCGGATCCAATTGAGAGTGTAATTACCGCCGGTTGTACAGCAGGTTTGATAGCAGGTTATGTAGGTAAGTTCACTATTAGTGCTTCTCTTTGTCACCAATTGTTGCCATACTTACTTTTGGTAACGTTTGTTTTCATATAAAATCTTCATTTAGTAGACGTTCATTGTTTGAGACCTTATGTAGAGAATGCCAACAGTCTTATCACACTTTGATTATTAAATCATTAATTTGTTCCATGTTTATACTGTTTGGACAATTAAAATTGATGATGATTAAATAAATGATTATATTTGTCAACTCCTAATAATCTTGAAGTTAATGTCTTGTAATTAATGACAAATCAGGAAAACTGTTACAATATTTAAATACATGGAAGACATGTGTTAACTCTACGGATGATTTCGTTCATAAATAATGTGATTTATAAAACATTTGCAAAACTCTCTTAACACAATAACAAACGGTAAACATAACTTCACTTCTAATTTAAACCAAATTTCTCGCCTAGTTTCTCACCCTTTACTGTCGGTTACGGTTGTGTAGCTGTTGTGATCGGTCGTTGCGTTCAGTGTTTGGTAAGTGTTGTGCGAGTGTTGGAAGTGTTGTCACTAATTACTTGTATTGACCCAATAGTTGGTAACATTCCTTACGACGCGACGGAAGAGAAGTTGAAGGATATCTTCTCAGAAGTGGGACCCGTTTTGAGCTTCAAATTGGTTTACGACAGAGAGTCGGGGAAACCAAAGGGCTATGGGTTTTGCGAATACAAAGATCAAGAGACGGCTCTCTCGGCGATGAGGAATCTCAACCAATACGAACTCAACGGACGTAACCTTCGAGTGGATAACGCGACGAATGAACGCCTCAAAGAAGAGATGCGAAATCTGCAGATCTCGTTGAGTGGGACGGCGTATGAGAGCCCTTACGGGCCGGAAGTGGAAACGAACTCAACGGACGTAACCTTCGAGTGGATAACGCGACGAATGAACGCCTCAAAGAAGAGATGCGAAATCTGCAGATCTCGTTGAGTGGGACGGCGTATGAGAGCCCTTACGGGCCGGAAGTGGACCCCGAGAAGGCGCCCGAAGCCATCAGCAAAGCGGTGGCCAGTCTTCCACCGGAACAGATGTATGAATTGGCCAAACAGATGAAGCAATGCATTCAAACCAATCCATCCGAAGCGAGAAACATGTTGATACAGAACCCGCAGTTGGCCTACGCTTTGCTGCAGGCGTTGGTTGTGATGCGTGTAGTGGACGCACAGGTGGCCGTCTCCATACTCCACAGACCCAACACTAATCAACCGCAACCACTTGTGCCGCACGCGGCGCCCATTCAGCAAATCATTCCTCCACAGCAACCCATCTTTGAGCCGAGAGACCAATACCCGCCTCAACAACGACCGGGTCCTCTGCCACCCCTAATGCCTCAACAACAACAACAACCCTTTGATAACCGAATGCATGATCCGCGACACGACCCCCGTCTCAGAGACGGGCCATCGTTCGATCGTTTCGCCGGCCAATCGGCACAAATGGCTCCCGCGGTTCCGCCGCAGAATTTAGACCCCAGAACTCGACCAATAGATCCCAGAATTCAGTCCCAAATGCCGCCACAAAACGTTCGCGGAGTGGCCGGCAATCCACCAATTGGTATGAATCGGGGCGCCGGAGGGCAACCCTTTGCCGGCCCTAACATCCAACTGCTGACTCAATCGAGTGGTCCGATGAGTGTGAATCAGGAACAGGAAAAGGCACAGCTTATTATGCAAGTGTTGGCCCTCTCTGACCATCAAATAGCAATGTTGCCATCGGAACAAAGGGATAGCATTCTTATGCTGAAGCAACAGATCCAAAGGGGAAGCGCTAATTGATCACTTCTTGTAATCACAATCTCATCACAATTGACGTTTAATTGTATTTAACAACTATAATAAAAACGTTTCAATTCTTTGTAAAACATTTGCCAATTATTTACTAATCATATGATTTACGTTTTTCTTGATTTTTACTAAATTTAAGTTAAATCTAAAGTAATCAAAATGTAACTAAAAAGGGTTTTCAAATACATCAACGATTTATATAATTATTTTCATTATATCCCTACATTATTACTCAAAAGCTACTTGATTCATTTTAATAAATACCAAAATGTACATGATAAAATGTAATTTGATGCGTTTTCCAAGATTTTATTCATAAATAAAAGGACATTTAATGACATTCTGAGTATAGCTATAAATTCTGCTGTATATTAAATGTACAAATTATAGTCAATATTTGAATATTTACAAAAAGTTTTGTCATGAATTGTAATTTTTTGAATCATTCTTAGTTGAATGATCTCATTTGAATCAATCAATCAACGTAGCCGTAGAGTTTAATGTTAAAAATTATTTATAAGTTATAAATTACAACATTAAATTTAAGCATTGAATCAACGCATGAACTTTTTTTTTAATGATTTTCATATATAAAATTTTATATTTCATGTTGCTAGCATAGAATACTGTATAACAAAATATAAGTGAAGCAGACCAAACAATTGGCCATCAGAAGTCTAGAACGATGATCAGGGCCAATTAAACAGTTGCCACAATCCATGCCTACAATTATAGTTTGTGTTCTCAAACAGTATAGAAATACTATCGACTCTATAGAGATCTTTGACGGAATCACACAATTGATGTTGATTTCAATTGTCAGATCACTTGACTTAATTGAATTTAATGTTTCAATTATACAAAACAATACACGTCTTAACATATTTTATGCGCTTAATTAAACAAAACTGTTGTTTAATTGTAAGCCTTAATTGCAATTCATTTAAATAAGTTAGACATCACTTTGAAGAATGCTTTTTAATAAATAAAATCAATAAAATATTTACAGAATTGAAATGTTTTGACGTTTTGTTGTTAAATAATTGAGTAGAAGAGAAGTAAACCGATTGTTATTCATATAATAATGTTGTATTAACTCAATATTCAAATTCATTTCGTCTGTATTTCTAGATTTGATTCTTGAAAGTTAAATACGAAACGAAAACAACAATTATTATTGATTTTCTGACATTTATTTTAAACTTATTTAAACATTGAACGAGTTTTTAATATAAGCCATAAATTATCTGCTAATGTGAAGAATATATTGTTAGCCTAAAGAAAAGCACAATAATTAGAGATTGTTATTAATTAATATCAAGAAATTGTTTCAGAGAAACACTTTTAGATCAATATTTGACACAAAGTCTTATATCATCGAAAGAATGGACTATTTTTCGTTATAAATGTGTTTTGTATGAAAATTCTTATGTTTAAAGCATTCAATTATTTAAATTTTATTTCGTTTTTTAAAACGAAAAGTAATGAAAATTTTATGATCTTTTAA